AGTAAAAGAGGAATAGGCTTAGGTTGGCATTTAACTGCAAAGGACACGGAGTGTATGCCTGTGCACACTGTACACGGCTGACGACGGTACACAAGACCCTTACCTCGTCAATTTATTCCTTGCTCATTTACGACGGCCCAGTCGCGCTGAGTGCTGACCAAAGGAGTCGACAGTGCTTACAGTATACCGTCACTCTGCTTTGACGTAGACCCTTATCAGCGGTATAGTTAAGACTATGAATAATACTAAACGATGACTGGACTGCGTGGTAGAAAAAAAAATCATTTTAACAACCGACACCTCTTTCGTAGAACAGCACTTTCACGGGATCAAGAAAAAATCCACCCACTAAGCTGGCTGAAATGCCTATCATGGTTCCTTGAGTCGTTTGCAAGTGAAGTAGCTTTAGATCTAGCCTCAACGGAACGATCCTTTGCCCTGATCGTTACCTCCGCTCCCCTGAGCGTTCCGCGCGCCTGACCTAGCTCGCGGCAGCCTCCAGGACCCCTGCCAGTCGGCGGCGCCGCGCGGCCGGCCGTTTCGAATTCGCGTCGGCGGCGGCGATGGTCTCAGCTGCCGGCCGCGCAGTCGGCGGTCGGTCCGCAGACCGCCCGGGCCGCGCCGAGTCGCTGACCCCGCAGGTGGCGCCTCTGGCGGCGGCGGCGCGCACTAGCGCCGGCGGAGCGGCCGCCGGCTCGAGATGGCCGCCCGCCGCTGAGCCGCCGCCCGCGCCCCGGCCGGCACCAAATTGGCGGCTCATTTGCATGAGCGATGTGCGCCCGGGCGGGCTGTCACTCGCGACAAACGCGGTCGTTTAGCGTCGAGCTGCCGGTCGGGCTGGGGTGCTCGGCTGTCGGTGCGGCGCGCTGCGGCCTGGCTCGTGGGAGGACGTGCCGCCGGGCGCCGAGCGCTGGTGCCAAGTGGCGCGTCTGATTCGGTATTCACGCGCCGTGTTGGCCGCGGCAGCTGTCGCGCTCGAGCTCCCAGCTGATCAGTGATGAGGGTCGCGCCGGGGTGTCGGATCCCGGCGGATCCCGGCAAACCTCACCGCATCATAACGGACACAGCATGCACCGCGAATCCTGCGTGCCATATGCCACCTGGACTTCCAATTATGTCGCGACTAGCGTATCTACTATAACTAACACCTTGACGGGGACATCTCCAAGGAAACCGCGAGCCGGCGATCGGCAGATAGTCTGCGGACTGGTTTCTGCAGATCCGTTAGTGGTAAGCCCTGCAGCTGCTGCTGCGGGCAGCCGGCGGTGGCGGCGTTCTCGGCTTAATGGGACGACCCGTGATGGAGACTGTCATGTGTTACCGTGCCCGCTAACCCGGGTACAGGTGCAGTTAGTTATTATTTGTAGGTCAATTAGACTATGAATGGTACGCGGCGCGACCATCAGTCGATTTCTGATTGCAGGTCGACTTAAGTATGCCATTTGATATCATAATGTGCATTAGAAGCATCGTTATGTGAACGCTCATTAAAAATATCAATACGTTGAGTTATAAATTTTTCTAGTAGGACCACTGCTAAGCTGGCGCTTTCAATCGTTATTGGTGTGAGGTTATTGCTAAGCTAAGACCATTATGACATAGTTGTCTGTTGGTTGGCACAAATTAATTGCCATTCCGCCGTTATTTTCGACGGAATAATGGTGAATATTATAAACGCGAAAAAAACATTGGATCAAAGACGGTGTAGGCATAATTGTAGATACCTACATATAACTGAAAATAGCGATTAATTGATTTCAGTTTTTTTTTTTCTAAGCTGAGTGCTGTGAGCGATGCATCATTCATTTCGTTAACGGTCAAGTGCTAATTAAAACTAATAAGTACGAGTAAGGACATGACACAATGTATTGAATGTGAATGAAAGTGCTTAGAGACATAAAAATAGCCAGCTAAGCACAATATGCCTCCATCATTTACAGCAGACGGACCCCATCTCCAACTTCCCTCACTGTCACTTGTCACTCCTCTGTTTTCCTAGCATGCTGTTTATCCTTGTCGCACTCATCTCTTACACAAGCTGATCCCCAGCCTTGACCGCTGCCAGCGTCTTTCCTACAGGGACATACGGCACCTCGCCGAGTTTGTCCTCGGCGCGCCATCACTGTCACAGCTGACAGCCAGCTGACGACCGACCTCGAGCTTTGTCGGGTGTTAGTCGCTGGAGAGAGTCCCCCGCCCCGACACGCCTGTTATTGGTGTCACAAGACTCGCGGGTGTCAAGGGTGTCACAGAGGCCAAACTTAGCCTGGCACGGGGAGACGGCCCTTCATACGGGGGTGTTGCCAGAGTTTAACGGTCAGAGTTTAAGCGTGCACGAGTCAATGGATTATCATAAACCAGCAACCGTAATTGTCTCGTGGTTGCACTGAAAAACGAAAAAATGCTAAAAGCTTACCGTAAAGGTATAGGTACGTTTTCATATACGCTTAGCTATTATACGTTTAGCTTTTTGAGAAAGTGTGCTAAAATCGCTATAAAATTAAAACCGTTTGATATGTTGCTGTCATTTTTGCTTAGGTTTGGGGGGAATCGAGCGGTGAATTGCCTGAGCAAAAATGACAACAAAAATATCAAACGGTTTTCATTTTATAGCGATTTTAACATACCATGCCTCAACTAGCCTCACGGTCTCCAATAGCCCCACCTACGGTACCTTAGTACTCAGCGATGTCTCTACCTAGTGATGTAGATGATGAGTCGTTTGTATGTGTCTATCTTTTTTATCTTATTCACATATCTATTCAGATGCCACTTTTTGGAGGAGTAAACAAAAGTAAGTTTGGTATACGCTTGCCAGGAGACCAACACAGTGACCTAAAGACATTGACACCGGGAAATTACATCCTTGGACTGTTTGCGTCTGTTTACCGTAAACGATGCTCCATGTCCACGGGAGAAGACATATTTTCGCACTTAGTTCGAAACAAGGGACTATAGAAATTTAGTCCTTATGGAGCCATAAGCCCCCTGATTGTGCGAGAAATCCTCACCTGTCAGGGCCCAGGTGAAGCCATCTCAGTCGCCCGTCTCCACTAATGTCAAAGACGGACGCGGCGTCTATCGGAGCGCCCGAGCCGGACCCTCCTTCAGGCGAGCCCCCCGCGGGGAGCAGTGCTAACCCCCGCTGGCCGGACGGTCACACGGGGCCACACACGACGCGTCCTGGCGCCGCCAGGTATTTAACCGGGCGCAGGCATGCGGCCGGCGCGGCGCCCAGTCCCCATTCCGGCGGTACAATCACAATGGTAAGCCGCAGGTGCCGAGGTGTTATCGGCGGCACCGCCGCGGCGCTCATAGAAGAGCCGCTCGCCGGAAGACGCTTAGCTGATCCCCTGCACCCCTCCACCGTCCCTCGATTTAACCAGGACCGGGGTCCGGTCGGGCGCGGAGGCGGCAAATTCCATCGACCCGTCCCTCCCACGGCCCAGCCGGGTTAAGACGCTGCCGGCTGGAAACCCACGCTGTCTCGGTGATTGCGAGGGTCCGGGCCCGTTTTATGGACCTCGTTGGTTAGTACCGCCTGTTCTGTTCGGGATGGAATGGGGTATACTATAAATAGCGCTCCCGTGTGAACGGTGAGCACTGCGGAGGAGGGCACACCGGTGACGTTGGGATAATCTTTGACCATTCTGTCAATTCTGCACGCTTTGAACGTTGTCATGCTGTAGCTTCCGTCCAATAGCCGTGCTTTTCGTCCTGTCTTGAGTGGCGTTTGTGTATTACAGAAGCAACATTTTTTTATACGCTCCTTGTTTAATTAAGGGGTGCCATACCGTTTTAATAAATATGATGAATGCTCAATGAATATTGAATATTGTGGACGAGGTGCTGTGACCCTCACAAACAAGCCAAATTTATATACCTGCACAATTGGGGATCACGAGTTGTGTATTATCTCCCACGCAACAGTCATAAAACTGTTATATGCTTCTGCATTCTGCCGGGCTGTCTCCATTCGCAGCTCCCGAACTCATTCTCAGAACAGTTGCTTTTAGCACTATTAGGTACTGCTTCTGGTGTTAATTAGTGCCTGCGTTGACAGGACAACGTTTCACTAAGTGCACTGCCTCTCAGATGTCAATAATTAGAAGCCTCGTGACCGGATCTCTGGGCAATAGATCATGCACCCATATTCGGTACTGAACAATAGCTCAATACGCTGAATCCTTGTGTTTGTAAGCTGCAGTCAGCTGATGCCCTCTGTGTCTAATCCTAATTCCCTTTTTATTTTGTTTGGTATATTTTTACTTCATTTAGAATAATTAGGTACCAAAATATAAGTAAATGAAGTAGGTAATTCAAATGAGTTCCATGATAAAAGCCAAATGTTACCACCATCACACATTCCATGCATTTTTTTTTTTTTAGTGGCCCTAACTTACGTTACCGGCCTCGCGAGGAGGGCGGCGACCTAACTACGCCGCGCAAAACAAACCGGCCGTCCTAACTAAGACCGGTGGCCACTTTTACAGCAAGACAACATGGGAAAACCCATATCCATGTACTATGCCATGAATATGGGGAAAAAAAACCATGAATTTACGTTAAGACACACATCGAACGCTCATCCATGATTCTTCCTCCGTGGTGTTTGTTTACGTGTTGGCTGTGATGTAATCTGCTTGGTTGTATCTTCGGTCACCTACATCACTACATCCTCTGTTAAACTGGTCGCTCAGTAAGCATGTCTGTTTGCTCTGGTCCGGGGTACCGCTCGCCCACCTTGTCCGTGTGTCAGTGCCTGTGTGTTCTGTCCTCATCGTCAGCGGTTATCGCGCGCTGCTGTGACTGGGTGTCGTGTCGATGCCGCGTTCGGCGGCCGGCCGGCCCGTCGCCTCTCGGTCTGCCGTCTCCGGCCGGCCGGTCGTCACCACTGACGTCACTCTGACGTAATCAATTAGCCACCAATGGGACGGCTCGCCGGCACGGTAATTCACCCGTCGGCCGCCACTGATTGAGCGCTGTGTGACGTTTTGCAGGTGCATGGGCGAGGAGTCTCCGCCCCGCGCCGCCGGCAGCCGCCCGCCCAGCCGCCCGGCCGCCGCCGCCGCCGCCGCCGCCGCCGCCGCTGCCGGGACAGTCGGGCCGCAGCCGCCGCGCCGCGAGGAGGCGCACACAGACGCGCCGCGCCGCGCCCATGCCTGTGTGACGGCCGCCATGCACAAGCTGGAGGTGCTCGGTGTGCGCGTGGCGCCGACGCGCACGGCGCAGGCGCTCTGTGTGATCGCCGCCGGAGTGGCGTTCGTGCTGGGCACCGTGTTGGGAGTGCTGATCCCTCTGTACGTGCTGCCGCCGCTCTACGCCGAGACGGACTCGGGAGTGACGCCTCCGACAACGGCTCCCTCAGCCGCTGGACTTTTGACGGCGCTCGGCCGACGGCCGCCGCTGGTCACCCCGAGACCCGCCGAGCTGCCGGTGGAGCTTGTGGACTCCATCAGCTACCTGGGTACCGCAGTGAGTGAGGACAGTGAGAGTGTGTTGTCGAGTTTGGTGAGCACAGAGAGCTCACCTGCGGCGGGCCTTCAGAGGACCTCTGCCCGGCCAGCGGTGGTAGTCAACGCTAGTGTTGAAGATGAGGAGTCCGACGTCGCTGAGCTCACGGACGGCATCTTCTGGAGCGATGCCGTGGAGGTGGCGCTTCCCCGAGGAGTGGCCAGTGAGGAGGTCACCGAGTGGAGGGCGTTCTGCCGGCGCGCCGCTCTCATCAAAGTGGAGGAGGGTTGCGGCCGCATGCAGAACCGTCTGCTGACGTTCGAGAACGGTACGCAGTCCTGCTGCCGCTACCGTCAGAACTTTGACCAGATCCAGGGCGAGATCTTCAGCTTCCTGCTGAGTCGGGAGCTCGGGATCCGAAACCTGCCGCCGACCTCTCTGCTGCTGGTGCAGCCGGCCGAGCGGCAGTGGTCGGCGGTGCGCGCTCAGCTCAGCCTGGCACAGTGGGCCGAGCAGCGGCCCGTGGTGCTCACGAGGTTCAGGGAGAACCTGACGCCAGCGTTCATCCCAGAGCAGCTGCGGGGCACCGACCGGCGCCTGCACCCGGCCGACCTGCGGCTCTCTGGGCTGAACATGGAGCAGAACCGCGACACGGTGCTGGAGCTGGCGCAGTGGTCCGACCTGATCTTGTTCGACTACCTCACCGCCAACCTGGACCGCATCGTCAACAACCTCTACAACCAGCAGTGGAACCCGTCCATGATGGACTCGCCCGCGCACAACCTGGCGCGTGACCCGTCCACCGGCCTGTTGATGTTCCTCGACAACGAGTCGGGTCTGCTACACGGCTACCGCCTACTCGACAAATACGAGCCGTATCATCGCACCATGCTCGACGCTACGTGCGTGTTCCGGCGAGACACGGTAGAGGCCATAAGGCGACTCCACCGCGCCGGCGACGTGGGCACCGCACTGCGGCGCATCTTCCGCGAGACGCATCCGGAGCTCGTCGACTTTCTGCCGACGTTGCCCGAGAAAAGCATCAAGATCCTCAAGAAGCGAATAGACAATGTTCACGAGGTGATTGAGCGCTGCGAACGGACGTACGCCAGTTAGTGCGCCGGGCGGACACGTGCACTGGGTGTGCGCTACGGACACGCAGTGCCGGTGTGCCAGTCATTGTTATTATCTCATCGGTCGCGGCGCGCGAGGGGACAGTGCTTTAACACCGACCAAGTCCGAGCGCGACCGCCACCATCGGGTGGGACTGCTGGTTCGCCGCGATCGGCTCAGCAGTCAGCGGCGGCCGGCTAAACCATTTTGTCCCACCCTCCTCATCTTGTGATAATTGAGCGCCGCGAGGAGACCTGTGATTACGACGGCTGGCGCCGCCCTCGCGGCAGTGGCGGCGCTCCCGCGGCCATCGCCGCGCGGCAGCCAGGTGCACCGCGCGCCGCGCGCTGCAGAGGCGCACTGCGCAGGCGCGGACAGCCGAGCGCCGGTGACTTACGGGACGCCGCCGCATTCCAGTGCCCGTGGAAAGAATGCGTGCCCACGGAGGGCGGTGGGGGCCACACGGTGGGTGTGCGGCCAGGGCGGAACCGCCGCCACCGGCCGCCGCGCGCGCTCAGTAAAACGACCCGCCGGTCGCCTTTATGGACCATCGACGCACCTAGCCAGCCAGTGAACGGGCCTCCATAATTGTGCGGGTCCGCCCGGCAGAGTAAACAAAGCACTAAGCGCCGCGCTCCCAGCTGTTAAGATAGGATCGGTGCACTCTCAACAGCGACCTGTCCGGACGCAGCCTGCGACTCTAGTTGGGCCGGGAGGCGCGCTGTTCTGGGACCAAGGATGTGTTGGACGGAGAATAGTGCCGACAGAACTGCCACACATTGTAACCGGGCGGGGATTGGCCGCAATATTGAATGTGTGAACTGTTGTATTTCTCCCCCGTTTTACGCTCCGTGGTTACAATCCAAGACGTTTTCTTTCCCAGCCAGACGCTTAGCAGCCCCGTTGTATCCATTCGGATTCGTTCACCTATTGCCATTTTCGTTTCTGCTTGCCTGCTCCCGGCCACACTGTTCCATTCCATCGCTCCGTCTGCCTTTCTTCGCGGCCTTTCCCTGCCTGGGTCCGTCCCAATTCGTGTTCCGCACCTGGCCGCGCGCTGGTCCCCTGCCCTCTCTGGCGACCCATCTCCCTCCGTGGGCCCGTGCGCCGCTCGCTGTGGCCTCCATCCTGAGCGGCGGCCACTCGCAGGCACGTAGGGAGAGTCGGCGGCTGACCCGTCTCGGCGGGCCGGCAGCGGCGCTCAGCGGGGACGCCGCGCGCTGCGCCGGCCCGGCCGCAGGAGGCCTGTTTTTCTGGCGATCCGCGCCGCGATGGCCGCTGGCGCGCCGCGGCGAGCCTGGCGCACATGGCAGCGCGCCGCCGACCGACGCCGTGCGCCGTCACTCGCAGTCGCGCGGCTGAACGCACGCGTACTTTTACTTTTGTTAAACGAGATGGTTTATCGTGTGTTTGGGGCGGACGCCGCGTCTGGAGATATGTGCTCCGTCCGTCCGCCTTTCCGGCGCAGAGTCGGTGAGATGCTGTGATACATGGTATTTGGATAGAATAGCATGCCTTTTTGTATGTATATGTGTCGACTGTTTGTTACATGAATATATATTAGGGTTGGAACGAATGAGTTTGGTTGATATGAGGGAGATAACAAGTCACATCAGATACCAGTTGTCGATCATGAAACGATCGGCCAAGGGAATACAAAACGATAATTAGTGCTAAGATCAAATAGGGGAGAGCGGGGAGAGTTGTATCATGTCCAAGTTGTATCAGGGCGAATTGTGCCAAACTTATCCAATGGATGGCGCTCGCGACACGACCAGCCGACGAGGTTTTCCGGGCGCCATCTTTCCCTGTTCTGTCTTGTGGCTGAGTGGACGTGTCTCGAGGTGAGAGCCGATTTTATGTTTTTTTAATGTCATTCTAAAAAAATAAGTTGCAAGAAAATGTGTGTTTTGGGCATTTAGATGTGCACGAATTTGAAAGATCTGCATAGCGGTGGTGAGGGTAGGTTCTAAGGCTGCGTGAGTGAAAACGGATTTCTCCAGCTGTCCGCTGTTTTTTTAGCACGAGGATGTTTTTCCAAGATGGCGGCTAGGTACATGTTGTATCAGAGCCGGGTGGGGTATGTTGTAACATGTATGTATGTATGCATGTATGGGTATGTTGTTTTTGATCGCGAAAGCTAAGCCCTGGCTCGCGTTTGTAGGTAGCTAGTCAATGCTCGTTCCATTTCGGCACAATGTGTTGGCTTCTTTGCTCTTAACGGGCCACTTTTGCGTCTAGTCTGTTGATGTTTCGTTCGGATTGCATTGACCTAAGTTTGGTCTAATAAAGTGAAGCCTTTGAGCATACCTATACATTGTGTTAACCCCATTTAATGTTGCTGTTATGTTCAAAACCAGTAGCAAGCACACTCCCTGAAACGTGAAATAGTAATACAAATTACCCCACCATGTGATACAACTCACCCAAGCCATGGGGCAAGTTGTATCAAAAACATTGTTCTATTCGGCAGACCGTAGAAGAAAAACTGGTAGAGGTAGCGGAAAAGTTACTTTGCACAAAAAAGCAGAAGAATCAAGGAAGGGGATAGTATGGAAATAATGAGTTTATCACGGATAGTTACGAGGTTATGGGTCTCGGAGTAAAAACTGATACAACCCACCCCACTCTCCCCTATCAATTCATATCTTTTCATAATCTTTAGCAATTTCTGGAAAACAATTCCCTTGTAAACACAAATAAAAATGAACACATTTATCTTTTCAACATCAGGTACAGGGATCATAGTAGTAGCACGGAATATATAGTCTACGACAGAAAGTGTAGTAGCTAGGTGTGAGAATACCCAAGCCTTGTCTCGAAAAGGCACTCTGAACAGACAAGTACAGAGCTGAAGATACACATCTCGGGGACTTCAGAAGAGGGATTCAGAAGGCGCCAAATAACAGTCCTATCGAGTGACTGGGCCATCTCGTAAGTCGTCTCTTCTGTATCTAGCAACTTTTCGATGGAAACACGTCCGCAGTAACAGGCTATAGGGCGGCTTGAATAGAATACACCTGAACGTGTTTGCCATAAAATGCTTGGAAGAAAACCATCTCTTCCTTGACTCGTTTTTCCGCCTGTAGATTAAACCACCATGAATGGTAACACAGTATAGTTGAAATCGAAAATGTTTGCTGTTTTGTAAAAAAAAAAGTCACTCTCCTAACCCATTACCCAAAGAAGGAATGCGATGCCTGAAGCTTCCCTTTAAGGCCACCGCACACTAGCCATTCGGCCGGTTCATTCGGCCGTTACAGCAGCGATTTTCTCGCGCGAGTCTTTATATCGGCCGAAACAACGAACCAACGACGGTGCATTCGGCCCATATTATTCAGGCATTCGGCCCAAGCGATGTTCACGCGACGACCGAAAAAAAGTTCGACCGGTTGAACTTTTCTCGCCGAAGCAGTCATTTAGCGGCCGAAAATCAACAGCCGCCATATTGTTTTCATACAACCTTGACAAGTGTTGTTTACATTCCAATCATTTTCGTTGTGAGGGGCTCGCGTGGTGTGGAGTTGTTTGCGATGGAAATGAAGTAAGTATTCGAATGAATATCTGTGTTGTGTATTTTGTCAATTGCATATGTGATTCAGATTGAAATGTTGTTTAAATATTGGTTTCAACTTTCAACCATCTCTGCTCCACTATTCATTTCAATTTCATTTCCATTTCCCCATTTTCTCCATTTGCCATGATTATACATAGTCAGTGGGCATAAATTTGTCTACTTCTCAATGCCACAGTAGGTATTCTTGGAAAATGGCCATTTATTATCCATATAAGCAAATATGTTCTGCTTTTGCCAGTTAACTTGAAATGCTGGACACAATTGTTCTAGGTTTCAAGGAGCTATTCTTGTATTATTTAATCAAAATTCAAACCTTGCAAGTCAAAGTCATTGAAAGTACCTGTAATGTACTTATATAATGTTCTTACCATGCAATCTGGGTTTTCATTTATCATTTCATTCACATTGCCTCCAACAGGCTACTGTCGCACTAATGTGTCACATATTAGATATGATAGGTACTTCATTGCATGCTTGGTGAAAGTGTTTAGCACAACTCTTGCTTATGGTACAAGAAGTGCCATAATTCAAAATCTGAGTTGTCAAAGTATAATAGAAATTCCATTTTTCAGAGTATTTTTTCCTTTTTCTGTGTTTCTGCCAGATCAAGATGTTGGTTGTGTCGGTATCGGTAACCCTGGCGTCACCGGTAGCGTTTTCGTTCAAGGTTAAGGTTTCCTGCATTAGGCAGCATTAGGCCACCGTGCCAAGCCGTAGCATACTGTGACGTCACTGGGCAAGAGAACGTAGGTACCACGCTATCAGTATCGACTGAGACTCAGATAGACTCAGAACGACTCAGGCAGACTCAAACTGACTCAGACCGACTCAACCGACTCAAATAGATTCCGACCGACTCAAATAGATTCCGATCGACTCAGATCGACTCAGAACGACCCAAACTGACTCAGACCGACTCAACCGACTCAAATCGATTCCGATCGACTCAGACCGACTCCAAACGACTCAACCGACTCAAATAGATTCCGATCGATTCCGATCGACTCAGACAGACTCAGAACGACTCAGGCAGACTCAGAACGACTCAGGCAGACTCAAACTGACTCGACCGACTCAGAACGACTCAAACTGACTCAGACCGACTCAACCGACTCAAATCGATTCCGATCGACTCAGACCGACTCAGAACGACTCAGGCGGACTCAAACCGACTCAAATCGATTCCGAGCGACTCAGGCAGACTCAGAATGACTCAGGCAGACTCAGACAGATTCAGAACGACTCAGGCAGACTCAAACCGACTCAGGCAGACTCAAACTGACTCGACCGACTCAGACCGACTCAACCGACTCAAATAGATTCCGATCGACTCAGATCTACTCAGAACGACCCAAACTGACTCAGACCGACTCAACCGACTCAAATCGATTCCGATCGACTCAGACCGACTCCAAACGACTCAACCGACTCAAATAGATTCCGATCGATTCCGATCGACTCAGACAGACTCAGAACGACTCAGGCAGACTCAAACTGACTCGACCGACTCAGAACGACTCAAACTGACTCAGACCGACTCAACCGACTCAAATCGATTCCGATCGACTCAGACCGACTCAGAACGACTCAGGCGGACTCAAACCGACTCAAATCGATTCCGAGCGACTCAGGCAGACTCAGAATGACTCAGGCAGACTCAGACAGACTCAGAACGACTCAGGCAGACTCAAACCGACTCAGGTAGACTCAAACTGACTCGACCGACTCAGAACGACTCAAACTGACTCAGACCGACTCAAACTGACTCAGACCGACTCAACCGACTCAAATCGATTCCGATCGACTCAGACCGACTCAGAACGACTCAGGCGGACTCAAACCGACTCAAATCGATTCTGAGCGACTCAGGCAGACTCAGAATGACTCAGGCAGACTCAAACAGACTCAGAACGACTCAGGCAGACTCAAACCGACTAAAATCGATTCCGAGCGACTCAGAAAGACTCAGAACGACTCAGGCAGACTCAAACCGACTCAGGCAGACTCGGGCCGATTCAGATAGACTCAGGCAGACTCAAACCGACTCAGGCAGACTCAGACTGATTCAGCTCGATTCCGAGCGACTCAGAAAGACTCAGAACGACTCAGACAGACTCAGGCGGATTCAAACCGACTCAACCGACTCAAATAGAGTCAGTTTGAGTCTGCTAGAGTCGGTTTGAGTTTGCCTGAGTCGTTCTGAGTCTGTCTGCGTCGATCGGAATCGATTTGAGACGGTTGAGTCGGTCCGAGTCAGTTTGAGTCGTTCTGAGTCGGTCTGAGTCGATCGGAATCGGTTTGAGTCGGTTGAGTCGGTCTGAGTCAGTTTGAGTCGTTCTGAGTCGGTCGAGTCAGTTTGAGTCTGCCTGAGTCGTTCTGAGTCTGTCTGAGTCGATCGGAATCGATTTGAGTCGGTTGAGTCGGTCTGAGTCGGGTGAGTCGATCGGAATCTATTTGAGTCGGTTGAGTCGTTCCGAGTCGGTCTGAGTCGATCTGAATCGATTTGAGTCGGTCGAGTCGGTCTGAGTCAGTTTGAGTCGTTCTGAGTCGGTCTGAGTCGATCGGAATCTATTTGAGTCGGTTGAGTCGGTCTGAGTTAGTTTGAGTCTGCCTGAGTCGTTCTGAGTCTATCTGAGTCTCAGTCGATACTGATAGCGTGGTACAGTCCACAGCAGAAGTAATGTGGGGTTTCAGTCATGGGTATGTTCTGCTTCTGAAGCTTAGGAACGATTAGCCAGACTACAATGAAACTTTGAATGTAGCTTATATGTATCGTCACCCTTGCAGCTGCAACTTTAGCTATTGACATCTTCTTTTCAATCACTTCGCATTAAACAATCGCCAGTCAAAGCCAACCGTTGAGTTTGGTAAAACCCTGCATTACTTTAGCGGTGGGCTGTACGTTCTCTTACCCAGTGACGTCACAGCATGCTTCGGCTTGGCACGGTGGCCTAATGCTGCCTAATACAGGAAACCTTAACCTTGAACGAAAACG